GTGGTGGGTTGGTTGGGTTGGTTGGGTTGGGTGTGGCTGGGAGTGATGGGCCTGCCTAGCAATTCCCAAACTCCAAAAGTTGCTGAACAGTTGGGGCCCCCCAAAACTGGAAACTCCAGAGGCCTCCAAGTAGTTGTGCTTTTTCTGGGGTGGTACATATAGGGAAAGTAGTATTTGACTGTTAATGGGCGGGGGAGACTCCCAACCTATGCCCCAGTATTTTGTATACATAAACGTATGTATATGGGTAGTTCTCTATACAGGATTCCTTGATTTTATCCGGTTGCCATACGATTGTGGCGGACCTAAGCAGAGGCCCCCAATTTAAAGAACTACCCATACAACCCACACGTGCGTTTATTCATTAGCTTGTAAGTTGTGTATTTATGTGTTCGTTTGTTTGTACTAGACATGCAGAGAGGCTTATGACAAGGGGGCGTCAGTACTACCTAGTCAGACCTCCGAATTGCATGGGTTTTCTCCCTTAAACCCCAAACCTCAGACCCTAACCTAAAACGAAGCCCAAACCCTACACCCCTAGACCCTAAAACCTTAAACCCTAAACTCCACACCCACACCCTAAAACTGAACCTTTCAACCCCAGATCCTGTACCTTAAGCCGCAAATCCGAATCCTTACACCGCCCTAGCTATAGGGGCCTTAATAGCTACCTATACTATTTTGGGGGTTCCTTTTTATAACTATAGTATAATATACCCCATAATTTTCAAGGCCCCTAGAATAAGCGTTGGCAGCCGATGGTGGCTTTGCCCCAGCTTTCGCGCAGGCAACGCTGTCAAAGTCTGCAGGCATCATAGCCAAGGCCGGCCCGTTTAGGGCTCCTTTCAGGGTCCCTTTTAAGGATTCCTTTCCATTTAAAGGCTCCGTCTGAGGGTTCGTTGAAAGGCTCCGTTTGGGGATTCGTTTAGAGATGTTTTTTGGGACCTAGATCTTGAAGAAGTTTGAGGGTTTCGGTGCGACTTCCTCACAAAACGGGGCTTTAGGGTTTTGTAAGGGGCTTGAAGGTTTTAGGGTGTTGGGTTCAGGGGTTAAACCTCCGGGTTTTGGGGGCCTACTAGTAGCGCTTCAGGCTTTAGGGGTTCAGGGGTCCAGGGTTTGGGCTTGCAGGGCTTCTGGGCCACGTAAGTTCCTCCCTGAAAGCACTGGACGCTTCAAACGTGCTCCAGAACTTCTTCATTTGCAAGCCGTACTTCGAACCCGACCTTAAATTCAAACTCCCAAACCCTAAACCTTAAACAAATTCATAATTTCCTTCGCACCCGCCAAACCCTCCGGCAGCACACACATAAGAGAGCAACCAGAATTTTGGGTTTGGGTTTAAAGCAACACATGTGAAAAGGACCCTTAAGCCACCTTGCTCCAAGCCCCCTTATGTTTCAAACTGTCAAGCAAGACTTTGAACGCTGCCCCTTAAAATCCTTCTAAACCCTGTATTCCCTGCAAGCCTTTTAAGCTTTAAAGCATGCAAAAGAAGGTAATATAGGGGCCTTAATAATTATAGGATAGGGTTTGGGGTCCATTATACTATATTTATGATAAGGAACCCCCAAAATAGTATTGCTAATTATTTAGGACCCTTTTGGCTCAAGCGTTGACACCCCGAGGACACGATGCCGCAGGGTCTCAGTAAGACTCCTGCCGGCAAGCGCCATTCGCGCGCGTGCTCCCGCACGGCTGTGGTGGGCACGCAAAGTCGCCCAAGGGCGGCAAGGGAGGCAAAGCCGGGAAAAGCGGCAAAGACGGCAAAGGTGGCAAAGAGGGCAAGGGCGGCAAAGGAAAAGTGGTACACAAGGGCTTCCAGGACATCAACCTCCCGGATGCATCGCCCGCGCCGGTGGCCACCGCATCGTCGAGTCCGGATCCTGCGCTTGCTGTGGCCATGGAAGGCGCAAGGCCTTCAAAAGCGCCTGTAAAGCCAGTCGTATACCTGACATGGAGGAGGACCCAGGTGCAGCTGGCAGCAGCGAGGACCCAGACCTGGACCGCCTTGACGAGCTCCGATCGTTGCACTTCCAGCAGTACTTCTCCGACGACGGCACAAGGTGGTGGTGGCACGACGAAGAGACTGGGCTTTTCTGCTACGAAGAGGAATACCTCGACTGCAGAAGGGTATTCTCTTCGCGCGGCGAAGAAGTCCGTCATGTATGGCTCAACCTCATACACCGAGAGCACGCGGGCCGCGCTTCGACGATGCGGGCCGCCGAGGCCGGGATGCAGCGACCACGTGCTGTGGCGACGGCAAAGCCCCGCTAGCGCCGAGAGCAGGTGCATCGCCGGCAACGACAAAGGCTGAAGCGGACTTGCCGCTGCCCGGGAAGAGACGTGCTCGCACTGGCTTGATCCCAGGGCACTGAGCAACATGATAACTAGTTAGTTCGGGGTGCGAAGTCTTCGGACTTACTGCGTTTACAGATGGAAGCAGTGCTTGGAAGCCAAGCCATGCGGTCTGTCGCAACATGTGACAGATGGTTCGTGCCTGTGCAGCTCAGTGGTGCAGTTAGGGGGGCTGCCCTCATCGGGCGCTTGGGCGCACTAGGGGCTTCTTGTGGCTTTATAGTCCTGCCGTGCGGCGGCCTCACATCGCATCCGAGCAGCGGAAGGTAACCCCGCTGCTGCTGCTCCCCCCTGACACTTGCTAACTTTCCTTTTTTGCTCTCTGGAGTCTCCCATAGACACCCTGCCAGGCCCCATGTACCCATGCTGACAGAGGGGCTGTTCTGTTGCTCCGCACAGCCACTTCGCTGCGTATGTGCCATCGCTGACAGGTTGTGCTATTGTCGTAAAG